GGACGGTGAGATTGAAGAGTTCAAAGCAGAGCACTGTCGCATACTCAATGTCGGAATATGTGTATTAAACTATAGTAATATAGTTAGAGAGGAAGTTCGGATTAGAATGTCATGTGACTAACAGGTTACGTTTGCCCAAGAACAAAGGAGACAAAGTCACATCACAAATCCAAACAAAAGAATATGAGATGTCACCTCAATTATGAGATCATTGACCAGCGGAAGGTCATGTTCTGCAAAGTTTTATTATGAGTGAGAAATCACTAAACCCCTTCCATGGACTAAGGTATGAGAGTCATATTAAAGTCTTAGGATTGAAGCAAGTTATGCAATTTAAGTTGTATATATTTTGAGAAAGCATATTACATGAGAAATGCATCAATTTGAAGAATTATGTTTAAAATAGAAATTATTATTTCTCTTATTTAATTATGATTTTGGAAGTTAAATAAAATGTCTAAAATAATTACGAATTGATGGGCTCATCAGGTTGATGACCTGGTGAATTGAAACCCCACAGGTGAACAAAATTCATACATTATTTAAGTTCCTAGTTCGAGATCATTAAAGTGGACATAAATGATTTCAATAAATGAACTAGCATGTAAGATTGATTGGATAGCGCAGTTTCATGGGCTATAGCGGCATAGTGATGCTCGGTCAATCACTTGTATATGCATGAATGATGCATGATCGAACTAATGACCTACTTTGAAGTTCAAGTATAGTGCTTCCGTATATATTAGTGGATTCCTTTGACATGAGTGGAACATTGATTTCATTCACTAGATGTTGTGACTGTGGTACACTCAAACTTCTAGCCGTAACTGGAGATTATAAAGGGTGTTTCCTGGTTATTTCAGAAGTTGAGTGGGAGTAATGTTACCACAAGATTGGATAGAGTCTACCTATTAAATTAGGAAATGTGTCATGGCCGCTTGAAGAGGGAGAATTCAGAAAATACGTGGCCGCGTTCAAATGCATTACACAGTAATCATTTGGTTTTGTAATTCTAACTCAGATTTCAAGAAACTATTTGTAGATTAATATGATCTCGACATGTGATGCAATCATATTATCAAATCGAAACATTATTGCACCCTTGTCTCAGACAAGTGGGAGATTGAAGGAGTAATGTCTTCGTCGTGTGCAATTACTAGATATATAAATGGATCAAATTATGGAGATAATTAAGTTCGTACATTTGGGTCGTCGTTTTGCCATAGCTAGAGGTTTTAACGATCTTTGGACTAGTAAAATAGCCCAAAGCCCAATTAGACGGATCCTATAAGGTCACACAAAGGGGCTAGATCGAGCATTAGAAGACGAGGCCCATCATGGGCCTCATCACTCTTGGTGGCTGGCCATATGGAGGATTAGAAGGTGTTTTGGGCTTCGTGCCCTAGTCTAATTAAAATGAGATTATAAATAGACTAGGTGCCTAGGTTTGCAAAAAAGTAGTTTTACTGATCTATTGATCAAACCCTAATTAGCAAACACTAAACCCAACCCCCTCTCAAAGTCCTCTCTCTCACGGCTCTCTCCTCCTCCTCGGCGCCGGTGGTGTCTCGTGGTGGTGGTGGTTCGTGCGGTGGTCGGTTGTCCGTAAAGGTGGTGATCGCAGTTTTCCTCAATCACTCGACCAATATAGTATTGGTGGACGGCTCGTTCGAATCTCGTGGACTAAGTAGAGGAACAACACTTGGGGCTCTATTCTCTCCCTGATTTGCTTGTCGAATAGCTACGTGGAATTCACGCTTCAAAGGTATGATTATGTGTCTTGTGTGTTATGCTTGCGATTCTTGGTTTAAGTGTTGTATGAATATGATAGTTAGATACCTAGTAAAACCGTCAGTGCAGGTTCTATACAAATTGAGCATGGATACTCAAAGAATCAAAAGGTTTTCGATTGTGTAAAACTCATGTTTTTATTTTCCAAATTACATTTCCCTTGTTTTCTTTGATTATTTACACCATCAAAATCAGCCATGGAAGCACTAGCTTTTAGATCAAAATCAACAAAGGAAACAACACTCCTAGCAGCTTACCAATTTAGATACCCTATGATGAATTAGATTCCTGGGTTTCCAATAAATTTCCAGAAAAAAAAAATACTAAAAACATAAGATAAATCCTAAATAATACAGCTTAAAAGAACCCTTAATTGACAAATAAAATTATTGATAACCCAAGACTGTGAAGATGGTATTCGATATTCTCAAAAACATTTTTTTTTAAAAAAAATCAACACTAAATACCTAATTTAATTCCTTATCAATCACTCAAACCCTAATTTTTGTCCAAATTAATGCATTTTAATTGAGCCGAAAAAGAAATGAAGAGAGATGGTACCTATTTGTGATGAGATTGAACGGTGTAAGAAATCTCATGAAGATTCGAATGGCCAAGAGCTTTCATAACCTGATTGTGATTGAAAGAATGACTTCAATTTAAAACCACATAAATTGTATAATCAAGTTGAGAGAAAGTGAGGTGAGAGAAAAAGATGAGCCAAATTAGCCCATACATTTTTCTAATCAATTCAAGCCAAATAACACTATTAAAAATCAAAATTAAATTTGATATATTCGAACTAAAAAGAAGCAATAGATCAGAAAATACCTCTTTTTCGATGATCTTAGTGAAGAATTTCTCAGCTTGAGCGATGCAAGCCCGATGCTTCTAGGGGTAAAATTGCCATTTGACCATGTTTCTACTATTAGCTTTGAACTACATCCTGCTGCCATCGCTGATATTAGTTCTGCGACTCCTGATTTTTGGTATAATTCATAGAGGTTATTTAGGAGAGAGAAGTGTAGTAAGAAGAAATATGTAGAGAGAGAAAATGTAATAAAAGAGAGAGTGAGAGGGGAAAAGTGAAGGAATTTGGACCAAGTGCTCAGAAGATTGTGTGCAAAGATACCATAAGATTGAGGTGAGAGAAACAAATTTTGAGGGCAATATAGGGAGTTCACTGTAGATAAGGAATTTCAAGGCAAAATACAGGGGTAAAATCGTCCTGTCACTGTGGTTAGCCACCCCTACACGTGGTCAGTGAATGACTCTGTGATACACGTGGTCAGTGATATATCAATGATGCACATGGATTTTTTTGGGGGGTAAAACAGTAACACCACTGTAGATAATGAAATCCAAGAACAAATACAGGGGTAATATAGGTAGAACACTGTTCATAAGGAGTTCTATTTTTTAAGTGTCTTGGTGCTTTTATAGGTTAAGGATAAACATATGTTTAAATACCAGTAAACATTCATTAATATGTAAAGATCATAAACAAAATTAGGGTAATCTTCTCTCAAGAATGAACCCTAGTTAGAGCTGTCAAAAGCTGAACCCGACCCGAAATACCGACCCTAACCCGACCTATTAACCGACCCGTCTGAACCCAAAAACAATGGTGACCCGAACCCGACCTAGCCCGACCTGAAACCAACCCTAGACCCGAGTTGACCCGAGTATTTGAGACCCGAACCCAAACATTAACCGACCTAGAGACGACCCGACCCGAATGTAACCCGTAAATTATTGACCCGAACTAAACCCGACCTAAACCGAAATTAACCCAAACCTGTTTTAACCCGTCAAAACCCGAATTCAACCCGACCTGTTCCTAACCCGACCCGAATTTAACCCGACCTGCTACAAACCCCACTCAAATTTCAACCTGATCTATTACAAACCGACCCGAATCAACCCGACTTGTTATTGACCCGAACCAAATTCAACCCGACTTATTATCGAATCAATATGTATAGGTCGTTATCTCATGTTGGTATTCGAACGGAAATTGAATCTTAACTCTATTCCTTCAATATTTCACTTTGAATTTTAAGAGGTTAGCTTCACAACATGTTTTTAGGGACAAAAGATGTTTTCCGCAAATTATTGACTTGAACCGAACTCGACTCGAACCCGAGAATGACCCGACTTGGAAATGACCCGACTTGATTATAACCCGCAAATTATTGACTTGAACCGAACCAGACTTGAACCCGAGAATGACCCGACCTGATTATAACCCGTAAATAATTGACTTGAACCGAACCCGACTCGAACCCGACTCGAACCCGAGAACGACCCTAACTCGTTTAAACCCGTAAAGACCCGAATTTAACCCGACCTATTTTTCACCCGACTCGAATGTAATCCGACCTAAACCCGACCCAAACCCGATATGATGTATGACCCGACGTGACCCGACTCAAGCATGAACCAACCCGAACCCGACCCGCATATGTTATGACATTAACCCGTATTGACCCGACCCGAGATGACCCGACTCACACTAACCCGACTCAAACCCGACTCGTTTACTCGAATTGACAGCTCTAACCCTAGTAGATGTAAGGTGAGAATGTAAATGATCATATACTATCATAATGAACATCTATCAAAATGAAAATGAACATTTACCGAAAATGAACATTTGTTCAGCAACCGTCTTCTCCGACGGAACCCTCGAAGTGTTCTTCTCTGTTTCATTTCTACAAAAATACCACCAAATATAGTAGATTTTAGTCTACTTTGCATAAAAAAGTGTATTTATAGTAGATTTTGTTTTAGAATATCAAAACGCAAAAAAAATATAATATCTAGGGTTTACACTCAAAATTTTACTTAAATGAACAAATTCTTACTCTTCTTTTTCGGAATTTAGTTTCGATTGACAAACTTCATCTCTAATGCATGTCAGACATTTTTAGATGTTTTGATGTAATTTGCGGTAATTTTGAAGCAATTTGTAGTGAGTTTCATGCAAAATTTTGGTTTTGATGAGAGAGAATTTCATGAAAATGGATTTGAAATGAAGGTTTTGAATTTTTTTTTTTCTTTTATGTATATAAATGTGAGGAATGAGCAGTTACTTGCATTTATTGTGGTTAGTGGGTGGTAACTGTATAGTTAGTAGGATGTGAGTAAGGGTTTTATGGTAATTTTGGGGGTAGGTAGTTAACTACGTATTTGCCCCGAAAAGCTGTCTCTAGTTCTCTATAGTCGTGGCAAAAAAAAATCCCATTGAGACGATCATAATAATTCAGACAATTGAAATCGAAGATGACAGAGAAAGAGAGAAAAGGAACAACCAGCACTTCCGGTGCAACTCCCCCACCAGATCCTGTTCAACCGGAACAACAGCCTTATTATGGGACTTTTCAAGGGGTTGCCTGTTTCACCCAACCACCGCCTCAGCCGGTTATCGGTTTCCCTCAGCCTGCTCCTCCGCCTGGTGCCACCATCCTTTCTAATTACTATGGGAGGGGTTATCAGACTGTTCCTGGTATCTTCTTTTCGTTAATTTCTTGATGTTTTGAATTTTTAATGATTTTGTTGGTTTATTTTGATATGATTGTGGGAATTCTGAATTATTGCTGAATAATTGTTGAATTGTGTATCTTATTTGTGTTATTAAATGGTGTAATTGTGTTATTTTTGGGTAGTTGTTAGGTATGACAGAATGTAAAAATAAGCTTTATTGAAGTGAAATAAGAAGTTAGGGATAAGTTATTGATCATATGTGTTGATGGGAAGCTTTTGGTTTGCTTGCAATACTCGAATGTTCGGCTTTTCTGCGTGGGCTTGGAGGGTTTTTTTCTGGGCTTATGGTATTTGAGTTGACAATTTGGTGACTGAAAATGAATAAAGTTTGTATTTTCATATGAGATCGATGGATTTGCAAATCGGCTGAAAGTGTGCAAATAAGATTATGCTAGTGCTGATTGGGGATGGATTTAGGTGGGGTGACGCCGTGACGGTGTGTTAGATTGGAGGAAAGAAAGAACAAGGTGATGAGGTTCGATTTTGTAAATAAGGATCTAAATATTGAGATTCTTCTTTTATGATACGATAGAGGAGAATGTTTTTAAAACCTTCAGTTAGTTGGAACTTGAACCTTATGTTGGAGATTAGGTGGATGTTTCTACTGTAAAATTTAACCTTTGTAATGATCCTAATATGTTTATACTGCCTCCGTTTCTTAATTTTTACAACTTTGGAGGGTTGCACGGACTCCAAGACAACATTTGTATATATTTTAAATGGAGAGAGAAAGATAGAGATGCATGTGATGAGGAGAAAGATGGAAAGAAATGACAACTTAAAAAGGAAAGAAAACATTTGTTTCAAATATATGAAACATTTAATTTTGGCAAATATTGCAAATAATATGAAACGAAGATAGTTTATATATTTTTGATAGTGTGACGACCCTAAGCAAACTTAGTGCTATTTTTATTTGGGAGCCCCATTTAACATAGTGGAAATTGTTCCCTATGAACAATAATGTGAATTATTGATCTAAATTACCATACTCTGGGGACAAGGACTTAATATAGATGTAAAAATGAGGCTCCAAGATGGTTGATACATTTATGGTATAGTTTGTAGCATGTGTACCCTATAATATCTCTGGCAGCAAGTGCCATAAAGAAGTTATAGTAACAAAGTAATTGGTTTGGTTTCTTGTATAGAATTAAGTTAATTTGAATACGTGTGTGTTATTCACATGCCTATATCTCCCTCCTCCAGCTATCACAACCTTTGTTCATCATCACTCATTTCTCTTGTCCATTCACCACCACCATATTCCCTTTATCTATCATCCAGCCCCTACCTACATTATAGAAACAGGTCCACGAGTCCACGAGTATCAGATTGCCGGTGAAACACAATTCATCTTGCTGAAATTGGCTACCTGTTCTCCAGACCCATAAACAAAATTGACTAAAGTCTTTGGTTGATTTGACTTACAGATGGCCTCCAAATTACTTTTTTTACCTCCCTTTTTTATTAATTACTCTCGAGTACAAATTGAACTATAATTTAATTGGAATAAAATAAACTGACACCTCTCCCCACTCCCCTTTAAAAAGTTTGTTTTGTAAGGTGATACCCATTACCCAAGTTAAGTGTAGCAACCCAACATTTAATTCTAATTCTCTATATTTGAATTAAATCTAGTCTAATAAAGAATTACTTAAAGGTGAGTTAAGAATTAGATGTTGGAGTTTATACGAGGTCCAATGTTAAGGCTATGGTAGATAAAATTATTAAATAAGCTATATGGGTGTCAAAGGAGGACTCTTAAGTCTTAACTCTAATTTGCTATAAATGAAGGCTTGCGTTTTAGAGTGCAAAGGGATTCTTAAGAAATCAACTCAAACCACTGGTGCTCAAAGGCGCAACATGGTGGAATGAGAATGCAAGAGTAGCAATTAAGAAGATGAAACATTGTCACAAAATAAGGTAGCTAATAGGCTTCTTGGTAGATGGGAATGGGAGTTTGGGGATTAGGGAGTGGGTATTGAAGGATGGGACTTCATAATTTATTTTATGTTCCCCATCCCTTGTTTGACATGGTATTGGTAAAAGAGTATGAAGTTACTACTTTACCCTATTTAACATTGTTAAAATTTTAAGATTTTTTTAGATTTTAACACCTGCTAAAAACACGAAAATGGTTTTTAACACCTCCAAAAAAAAAAAAATGGGTATTAACACCATACAAATTTTCAAAAAATTGGTATTACCACCACTTAACGGTTTCCGTTAAAAAATTCCGTTAAATGTGGTCCACAGTGACACGTGTCACTATTTTATTTGTTTAAAAAAAATAAAAAATAAATAAAAATAAATTGAAAACCTAAAACTACCCCAGCCCCACCCACCGCGCCACCACCGGCGTCCCCAAACCCACCCCCTTTCGGCGTCCGACGTCCCAGTGAATCGCCCGGCGCCGGTGACCCCACCCCCACCACCCTTTCCTCCACCTACGCACCCCACCCCTTCCCTTTCCCCATTTTCGTTCCCGACCCACAACCCCGAAACCACCCTAAACGGGTTTTAGGGTTTCGTTTGGGGTGGTAGGGAATCGATTAAGGGAGGGGGAAATGAGAGGGAGGGCGTTTCCGGGGGAGGAGGAAGGGGAGGAGGGGCGTTTTCCGGGGGAGGGGGCGTTTAGGGTGGTTTCGGGGTGGTGGGTCGGGAAATGAAAATGGGGAAAGGGAAGGGGTGGGGTGTGTAGGTGGAGGAAAGGGTGGTGGGGGTGAGGTCACCGGCGCCGAGCGATTCTCTGGGACGTCGGACGCCGGCGGGGGTGGGTTTGGGGACGCCGGTGGTGGCGCGGTGGGTGGGGCTGGGGTAGTTTTAGGTTTTTTTAATTTTTTTTTTTAAATTTTTTTTTTTGTTTTTTAATTTTTTATTATTTTTTTATTTTTTTGGCCAATAACAAAGCGACACGTGTCTATATGGCCCTACTTAACGGATTTGTAAACGGAATCAGTTACGTGGTGGTAAATACCCAATTTTTTGAAATTTGGGTGGTGTTAAAATCATTTTTTTTTTTTTTTGGAGGTGTTAAAAACCATTTTCGGGTTTTAGCAGGTGTTAAAATCTAAAATAACCAAATTTTAAGGTATATTGTCATTTTGCTAAAGCCAGATAATTCCCTATTCTATTACTATCTTACCCTAAGCAACAAAAGTATGGGAATAGAAGCTAAATAGTCCCAAGCCTAATCCCACTAGCTAAACCTTTACCACTTAAACAAACAAAAGATTTTATGGACACAGTATAAAAACTCCCATTCCTATTCCCTATACTTCTACATACCAAACACCTCCTAAAGGCAAGGCAAAAAAGGTTATTTGCGAGCTTGGGTTGAGCTATATAAGGATTTTTACTCGAACTAGACTTGATGGTGAAATCTAGAGATTAGTTTGGAGGAGGCATGTGATGACCAAAGACATTTGTATGCTGAAAGTGTGCGAGGACAAAAACCAAAGAATTATTTGTTAATAAAAGCCAAGTTGGTGTACAAGAGACTACTATATTGAGGATTAGGAAGTCGATTGGATTTAAATTCAAAGATTTCAAAGGTAGGAAAGGCATTGAAGAATATGAAATTGAGGAAAGTTGTAGGGATGGTATTACTATCAGAAATGCTTGGGATGATTAATATTGAGTGGCTCACAAGTTTAACAAGATTTGGAGGACAAACAAGATATTATAATATTGGGAGAAACACACTTGGGTTCTTATTTATAAGAACAAAGGAGATGCATAAGTTGTTCAAACTATTGAGGGATCAAGCTTATGAGTCATACAATGAAGCTGGGGGAGAGAGTGGTAGAATAATAGTGATGAAATGTCCTAATATCTTAGTTAATATCTTTAGTCATGTGATACATGTAGAAATACTCGTGCAGATAGTACTGGAGATGCACAACACCATAAATAATCATTCACTAAAACCTTACAGAAAATGAAAAATAAATCACCAAAAAACTTCTCTCTATTTCTAATCTCAACTTTGCACATAATTCTACCAACAAGAATTGCATGTTTAATGTTTTTTTAGTTTTTCCTTATTTTAAAAAGCAATGCCTTAGTACAATCATTATATCTGCATCTCCAAGTGCATTATGACTGTTATTTTTCTAGCAGTTTTTTATTTCTAAAAAAATTAGATTTACTCCTACGGAATATCGTTGAAAATTTTGAAGGAATCATAAAAATATATGTCTATACTCTATAGGAATATTTGGAACCTTTGAGAGGTTTAAGGGAGGAGAAAGAACCATTATGGCCTAGATGGCTATAGCTTGAATATTGTGGATAAGAAAAAATGACCATTTTGTGAAACAAATTTTAAAGTCAGGAGTCTTTGCTAGGGTAGGACTGTGTATCTTGCTTTCTCTATGATCCTTTTTCCATTGCCCGTATTTCAATTTTATAGTTCTGGCTTTAGTGATACTCAATTTGATTAGCATGCTATTTCTATCTTTCATTTTTTACCCGACTTTTTTTTTTTTTTTTTTGGTATCATGAAGAAATTATCTAAGGAATAAAGTTGATGTCTAGATATTAGTGCCCCAATTCAGATCGATTTCCATACAGCCATAGTTGGTTTTTCTTTTAAACTGAAATTATGTAAAAATAAATTTATTGTATGAAGGGTGAAAAGGAACCCCAAACAGCTAGTTTTATTGGATCATTGAAGAATCAAGTGATGCTGGATTACTGAACTCTTTGGACAGTATTTTTTGAACATCTTTTAAGCTGAAGTAGAGTCTTCTATATGGAAAGAATCCAGTGCTTTGATATTAAAACTTTTGATATGCTTAAAACTGTTCTTTTTATTTCATAATTATGCTCAAGAAGTCAACACTCTCCAAGAATATCTAATGAAAAGCTCCTGGGACTTTTTTTTTTTTTTTTGGTGTAATTACTTTATATTGATTTTGTAGTGTTGAAGTTGTGTGTTTATTGACCAGCCTTTTTATGATTAGGTTATGTAATTGCTGAAGGAAGACCTTTGAGGGAGCCAAGACTTCCTTGTTGTGGAATTGGCATAGGCTGGATGTTGTAAGTTTAATGTCTTACTTTTTAGCTCTGTCTATTATTCGTTTTATTTGCAGCTAGCTTCTTGTTTCATCAAGTGACTTGATAAATCTTTTAGCTCTTTTCTGGCCAAGGATCTACTTATGTTTTTGGATGAACCATCATAGAAGTAATAATATGGTTTAAAACTAATGCTCAACAAATATGTGCATGCTATGGTGCTTTGTGATTTGTGGCTGCAGAATATTGATGTCATTTGTGCTTTCTTTTCTGGATAGATAATAGTCTACAGCAAGCTGTGTTAGTGGTGCGTACTTGGAAAACCTTTCTGGAAATTTGATAGTAAAATTTGAACCTTTGAGTTGTTGAATGTTTGAAGCTTCATCCGATCCTTAGCTTGATATAAACTATGCATGTGGTTTCCCTTAGTGTTGTTGACTTACTATATAAAGTACACTCTTTGATCAATGTATTATTTTTTTGAGCAATCTCACACATGTCAAGTCTTCGGTATATGGTTGATATTGCATAGTTAGTATTGAGTGGCATTTAATATTGTTCTAGCTAAATAATCTATGATGTTATGTTGTCATTATGTTTAATGTTTGGAGTAAAGATAAATACAAAAGCAATACCAACATATGTGGAGTAGCCTTGGATAACTATTGATAAATCTGGCCTTATATCTGCTGGCAGAGCAATCTAAAAAATATAAAATAAAAAAACAAAAGAAAGAGGGCTTGAAGAAGAAGTAAAAGGATTTATGTCTATTAAGTAGCTCACATGTTTCATTCTTCTGTAACACCTTTAATTCATACTCCTTGGTTCCCTGTCACTTTGTGACACCACAATTTTGGGTTTAGATCCCTCGTAGATCTTTAGAATAGGCTTTTTTAGTTTTTACTACGAAATACAACTTTAGAATTCAAATTTAGTGATTTAGCTTGTACAGTGGATGGCAAGAGGTATGTTGCGGACCAAATTGATGTTGCCAGGATCTAATTCTTGATCTTTATAGTGATGATACGGCTTTTTATTTTGGATAATTTTATTTCATCCCTCTTTTCTTTCTGATGCCAGTTTGGAGAAAAAGAGAGATTATTATCTTTGCCTACTTTAATTTCACCAATTCTTCTTAAGCTTTTGTATCTAGCTTGCTTGCTTCTTTGAGCTGGTAATAGTGATTGCAACCTGAACCAAAATCTCTAATTCTCCCTCTATTCGTGAAAACTCAACTCACTTTCTACTTTAGGGTGTTTTACCTTTTACATTATTTCATTTTTGGCAAACCCTTTTTTTTTTTACCTTACTCTTTCTACCTTCACACCCTCGTCTCACGCTTATTTTATTTCTCCTTTTCTTACACCGACCCACCTTTTTTACTCCATTTTACTTTATGCGCTTTTTTCTTGCACTAATTTTCTCCTTTTGTTTCCCCAAATTTTCATAGAAATGAGAGTTTATAGTTCCTGGGTCAGACTTTTTGGAAACAAGAGTATATCTATATATCTAACTTTTCATGATATCTATATGTATCCATGTGTATATGGGACAAAGTAAGAAAATTGGACCTCTTGTATCTAGTTTTAACAATGGTTTGGTTTTGTAATTTCTACATGGTGACCTTCAAGATTGGGAAATTCTATCTAGTGGAACTTTTTTTTTTCTACCACAGTTTTTAGTGACCCTCTACATTTGATTAACTCTATGTAGTGTCATTATATTATTAAATGGCTAACCATTTCTGATTTTAGAATCAACCCTAATATCCTAACCTAGTAACCTGCCCCCGAAATATTTAACTAACACATTCCACCCTACCCAAAACCAACCCCTTCCCCCATCATATTCCCAGCCACCCCTCCTTCGTTATTCCTGACCCACACCCTGCTGGCCAGCACCCTTCCTCCCTCAATCAACCCACCACCCAAAAACCAATTTTTGAAAATGGCAACTGAGGTTCAGAACGGATCTGACAATAACAGTGCTGTTGCTGCGACAACTGTTACTTTCTCAGTGTTCTAGCCACAACTTCAGGTTCAAGCCATAAATGCTGCTGCTGCTGTTCAGTTCTACAGGGTTGCGTGGGTTAGGAATTTCGTGGTGGTGGGTGTGAGTTTTCGGGGTGGTGTGGATTTTTCGGGTGATGGATTTGAGCTTTGAAGTGGATGGGGTTTTCGTGGGTATGTGTATTCGAGATGGGTGGGGTTTTTTTGGGGTGGAGGCCACTTCTGGGTTTTCGAGGTGGTTGGGGTTTTCGCGGTGGTAGGTAAAGGCGTAAAGCTTTTCGTGGTGGTGAGGGTGGGTTTTGGGGAAGTGGATGGTTTTCGGTGGGTTTCAGCTTGCGAGTGCAGGTTAGCTGGTTTTGGTGGCTTAGGTGGTGGAGCTAGGTGATGGTGTGATTGTTAACCAAGGGGTAGGTTAGTGATTTACTCGCTACGTCTCTAAGCAAGTATATGGGTCAGACTTTAAAATCATTGACCATAAAATACTCTTAATCTTTTAGAGATAATAGGGACAAAGAGAGTAATTGATTAAGGTCAAATGGGGCAAAATAATAGGGACAAAGAGAGTAATTGATTAAGGTCAAATGGTTATCCGTAAATCAATAGGTTAGCTAATTTAGTGGAATTAGGCCTCTACATAGACTTAATCAACTCTAGGGAGTCATTTGAAATTATAGTCTAAATTTTTGTCTACTAGATATAAAATCCGAATGTAGAATCCACACCCCCCCCCCCCTTTTTTAAAAAAAAAAAAATGATCCTGCTAGGTCAATAACCTGCTGTGAAAATTTATTTTGCATGATAAATATACCCTTTTCATGAGGATTATCATGATGTCCTGCCCTCAACGTGGGGAAAATTTAAATTTCTAGTTCAAGTTCTAATGTTCATCTTGACCCTTCTGTTTTTGCAAGGTTTATTTCTGGTTTCTTCTTTGCGGCCTTACCTTGGTATGTTGGAGCCATGATTCTACTTTTTGGCAGACTGGATTACAGAGAGAAACCTGGACTTGTGGCATGCATGGTAGCTGTAAGTCTTTTTAGTTTTCCACTTTTTAATGTACTTCCCACAATGTTGTCTAAAAGTAATCTTGTCTTGATGAACTGATCGGATTGTTATAAAACTACTGAAAGTTATTTTAAACTCTGATCTTAACAACAACCCCCACCCCACCCTCTTTCCCGGTTCCCCCTACCTAGGAAAGGGTAAGGAAAGACAATCTAGTATTTTTGTTTTAAAATCGTATATTTAACCTTATTTAGATTTTATTATGACATGGACGTGTTCATGTTAATTGAGGATATTACTTGTGATTATTAACTAATTTCTCCATCTTTTTCTTATGATGCAGACTATTCTGTCTATAATTGCTATCGTATTTGGAGTAACAAATGGTGATGACTTCTGGTGACAGCTTGATGTTTACAAAAGAAATCGAAGTTGTACATCCTGCCTTCTTGCATGAAGCAACATACATCCTCCTTTTTTTCCTGTATGAATTTGCTGAAATCCTCGGTTGAATTTGCTGTTTATAACATCTCTTATGTGTCAATTCCTATAGGTTGGTATAAATGTTCATTTGATACTTGAAATGCTATGGTACTTTGGCGTTGAGATTTGATAGTGCCTGCTGACAACAATATAATTTGTACAGTTTTGTGACGCGTTATTTGCTGGAAGAAAGGCTGTTTGTCCTGTTTTGTGTGTATGCAACTACGCGTATATTTCATCATTGTAAATACAGCAATATGCTCTTCTGATGTGTCTGTTTGGCAACTCATATTGTGGATTTCTGGAGTAAGGGGTTAATTTGTCAGTGGTTGAATATTAGTCCCTTCGTTGCTGTTTATGGAATAAGTCTTTTATTAAGGCTGTGCACAGATTTTAGGGAAATGAAGCAAGCAATTAAAGTTGCACCAAGTAATTAATGATATTGCATTAGTATTTTTCTCACTTAGTTTTGTATGGGGTCATTGGGTCGTTTTAAGGAAATTTGAGAACATGATAAACGTAAAGTGTTTATCTAGAGGTAAAGTACATTAATTTGGTAAGGGTGGCAACGTAATTTCAAATTTTGGTGTGTCTAAATATTGATTTTATTTTGTAAGGGATCTATGTAGAAAAACGTATAAGCATGGAAGATTCAAAGCTTATACTGTGGCTTAAAGTCTTAAACCCCCAAAGTGAAAACCCTTGGGAAACTTTTTAGGGGGCATTTGGTTCAAACAATGGCATGGGTTTGGAATGAGGAATAAAATTTGGGTGATATAGGGTTGGAACTTGATACTTAATCATATTATGGTATGGGGTCATAATATGATAATGGTATGGGTTTATTACTTGATGGTTAATAATTGTGTGTTTAGTTCACTTTCAAATTGATTTGATTTTTTTCTATTGATAATATGATAACTAGAATTATTGATATGATTCTAAATTCTAATACATCTTGTCAAAAAGCTTATAAACCCCTATATTTGGAGATTGAGCTATGTGACTTAAGTTTTAAATTCTTAAAATCAACGACCAAACATATGTACTGTCGTATTGGTTCTAATAAATATACCTCATCCCCACATCCACTAAACCAATTTAGCTTTGTGAACCAAACTTACACTGAACCATTTGAGCTTTAATCTTCTAAATTAAAAACTCAAAACTTTGAAAATGAGTGAAATGATTACTGCACAGAACCTTAAACCCTAAATTGCAAGTCACGGATAATTGAAGAAATAGTTTAAAATCCAATCAATTTAATTAACTTGGCATTAGTAGATCTCAGATGAATTGATCAAATGAAAATCTGTTGTGCCTACAAATAGATACTTACAGGATAGGAAAAATTGTCAAAAACCATCTTTAACACTTTTTTGTGAAAAAAAAACACTTTATAAAAATTTTCTTGTAAAAACACAACTAAAACCATATTTATTTATTTATTTATTTGTAAAATAACACCTTAAGCTAGTTTCGGGGCTTTGACCTTGTATACCGGCATTGACCTTCACGTGAGGGTCACGTGCACAACCCCTCCCTCCTCAAAACCACCAAAACCACAACCTAACCAACCCCAACCGTCGACACCACCACCTAGCCGCCACAGGAACCACCTCTCAGCCGTCGACACTACAATCCATCAACATAGCCGTAGTCATCGCCTACCCAAATCTCTCTTAACCATCGGAAAAAATATCTTTTCTTTCTTTTTTACCCCTTTTCCCCTCCAATTAGACTCTCTCACTCCTCTATTGAAGGGGAAAAGTCCATTATTTTACTCGAATTGCTGCAAAGAACAACCTCAATTAATCTAACTTTGTGGTAGGTAAGTTGTTAATGTTAATAAAACTGATCCATTGTTGTTAATTTCGTTGATTTTTTATTTACCTTAAATCTAGGGTTTCCAATTGGGGAGAAAGGGGGGGAAACTACTACCTACCCTCCACTCCCCTCTCTATTGGTTTTTGGGGGAGGGTACACCTTTCCAGGTGAATTTGGATGGTTTTGGGTGTGACGTGGGTGGTTGTGGAGGTTGGTGAGGATTTTTGCGGGCGGGTTTAAAATGATTTGGATGGGTGGTGATGACAGCAGGTTGATTATGAGTTGTGATGTCGGCAGCTGAGAGGTGGTTCCGTGGTGGCTTGGTGGTGGTGTCGTGTGTTGGAGTTAGCTATACTATAGTTTTAGTGGTTTTGTGGAGAGAAAGGTTGAGCACATGACCCTCACGACCCTCACATGAGGGTCAACGCCGGAAAACAGGGTCAATCCCCTGAAAAGACCTAAGGTGTTATCTTACAAAAAAAATCTGGTTTTAGTTTTGCTTTTATATAAAAAAAATTATCAGGTGTTTACAAAAGTTATAAAAGATAGTTTCTTACAATTTTTCCTAAATGATATAACAATCAACTAATCAAGTATATAAAAGAGTGGAACGGGGTGTATTAAGAAGGCTCTTGACCATTGCTTAGGCTGTTTGGTTTTGCCGCAACAAGCGAGTATATGCAAACGAACAGCTTGATGTGTGCTTCGTTGTTGCGGGTTTCATTTGTATGGTCTATGAGCATAATGTGTATACTGGGAAAGTACTCCAATCCCCTCCTTGTGCTAGACAAACCAGCGTGCCTAAGTTGAACTGTGGAAATATCCGCAAGCTGACGTTAAAATTAATGTAGATGCTCACGTTGGTGTCGGGGCTGCTGGGGCCTGGGGGTCTTGGTACGGTGGCTAGAGATGACAAGGGTAAAATTTTATGGGCTGCCACCAAGAAAATTCCGGCGTGCTGGCCTGTTGAAGCTGCGGAGGCTGCTGCGGTGGTGATTCCCTAGCTGATGCAAGCAAAGAAAGCAAAGCTGCTCTTGGCTTTTGCCCATTGTAGCTGATTTATGATGATATTCGGGTACTAGCTAGTTCCTTTCATGTTTTAGGAAACAGTCTGATTTGGAATAAAATCTCCCGTTTTCCCTCAAAAAAAAAAAAAGAAAAAAACAATTTAACACCTTTTGGTAATACCTGTCTAAGCCCTTATTAGTCATCTCTTCCCAATCCATGAAGGCTCGTTTAAAGTAAATGCCAAGGCTAGCAGCTAGCCTCAAGGAAGATTGTGAGACATAGACATCCAAAAATAATTGGTGCAAGTATGTAACAACCTCAATTCTGCTACAAAAATCTAATGCATAGACCGTAACATTCAAGCATATCACAAATATCAAACTGAAAATTGCAAAAGCAGGATCTTTTAAGACGGTAAACAAAACAAATAGAGCTTGTAAAACTCATTTCTTGTCTACGACAAACTATCATAAAGCCATAGTTAACCATAATAATTCAAAATATGTTCTGAAGACAAAATTTTGGTCTCTGACTACAACTCGGCACAAGAGATCTGTCCTCACATGAACAAGTTAGGCCTTGATGCCTTGTATGTTGTCTTAAGCTTCCTGGATGGTGGCCTAACCTTCTTGAACACCATTGGGAACTTGATATCGCTGCTGTGGAACTGCTTGGTGCTCTCCCTCTTGCAAAGCTCATCGGGAACTGTTGCTGTCTTGATGATCTGGATGCATGGAGCCCTGACCCTGTGACGAGAAGCCATCTCACAGTACATCTGCTCAACTGCACCATTCAAGGTTGTATCACGGTACTCCTTGTACATGTTGTGGTAACCGGTTCTGCTCTGGTACCTCAACCAGATACCGTAGTTCTTGATTGTAGTTGGGTTCTTCTCATAGATCTGAGGTCAAATCATAAATGATGAGAGAGAAACAGGAAGCACAATAACTAAAACTAATCAACAGAAAAAATAATGTGCTTCCATTGATTCTCAAAACAATGGATACTTTTGTATCCTAAAAGGTCAATATGTGTTCACTTGAACACTAGTTCAATCATTCATATTCAGTTTCCCCAGGTGTATACTCAAAGAACTACTGTCATTGTGTATGACTTCCATATATCTTCGACAGAGATCCAAGCTGTACATAATTGCCCTACTACAAACTACATTTCTAAAATGTCCATTCCACCACAAGCAATATCACTCACTCATCAACAATGTATTCAATCACAGACGAACATCATATCACATCTTAGAAGAAATGACTTATAATTCCATTAAACGGGGTAAAAGGGTATGTACTTTCAAATAATATGAAATTGTGAACGTCTAAAGCAGCAGACTTCCACGAATTGTTCGATAAAACTACAAAAGAGCAATTGACCAATACCAAAAGCCAAACTATAACAATGAAATATGTAAACAATATAATATTTTTTCAAGGCATCAATAACAAAGAAGATATCTATCAGCCGCCGATGAAAAACAATCAAACCTAATCAAGGCACATTCGATAACCCTAAACACATTCACAATCAAAATCACCAATTCATATTCATATGAAATTAAAATTCTGCTACATGATAACCTAATAAACAAAAAAATATTGCAACAAAAAATTATAACAAAAAGATATTAAAAATGAACACAGTACCTCATTAATGGCAAGAACTTGACCATTGCTCTTCTTAACCTTCTTCAGCTTCCTCAAAAAGTACCTAAAAATGTCACAAAAACCCCATTAAATCCCTTCAAATTCATAACCTCAAAACAAAAAATAAAAAAAAAAAAAAAGAGAAAATCTTACCAGAATTTGGACTTAGCACGGACCTCATTGGTAGCCCAAAGCTTCATCCTGTAGATCTTAGGGTGTTCATCGGACTCAGTAGGGAGAGCTCTCCCAACAACTTGGTATTGATGAAACTGCATTAAAATTAACCCAGAAATCAGCGAAAAATACCCAGAAAAATCATGAAATTAAAACAAAACCAAATTGATAAGATCTAATTGAAAGACTGAGACGAAGGAGAGAAATGTTGATGATTACTGACCCTGTACTGAACCATTTTCGATGAGCTCAATCCCCCTCTCTCTCTTTCGCTCTGAAAGGTTTAAGCTGCGGAATTGAAGAAGACTGAAATTAGGGTTTTCCAGTGATTTTATATGGACCGTTTTATTGAGAAATGAAGAAACCCTAAAGTATTGGATCTGTATTTGTGTAAATGATGATGGGCCTTTTCAAAGCCTTATACCATTAATCGGGCTTAGTTGTAAGTTTAGTTGGTCATGGCCTCATGGGTAACTTCTGTTTTTTTTTTTTTTAAAACCTAAAATACTCTAAAGCTCAAAATCAAATTAAAAATTTTAAAAAAATTATTCTTTTTCGAAAGATATACAGAATTTCAGTTCATATGTTAAAGAGTTCAACATTTTGGGTTAAATAAAAGAAA